GAGACAAATGAATAGTAATGCTGCATGGCCAGCGGAAAAGGGCGGACACCAGCAGTGACAGAAAGGGCGGACACATCTTAAGAAAGAATTGAGAACCCCTAACAGCCCTAACAGTAGACTGTCTGGGGAACAACCGCACAAGCTCCGTCCCCCCACTCTCCTCGGATGGCAATGGAAGCAGCAAGGTCGTCGAATGATCGTCGATTTCGTCATCTGTGACGAGGCTCTCGGTCAGCAGGTCAGAGTTGCACTCGGTGAGGCTCTCGGCCTGGCGTCGTTCCGAGGCCCTCGGCTGTGCCACAACTCGGCCAGGAAGTTGCTGCTAGCACGCCCGCATGCGCCCACTAATTAGCCAATATTCCCTTTTGGTAGGACATGTGGGCAGTGAAATCAATTCGCCATCCGGATTTAACTGGCCACCAACCCCACCCACCTTGGATTGGCCAACTTCCTGCAAGTCGGGGCCGGGCTGTAGGCTGGGTTGACGCAGCCAGAACTGCAGGGATAATGAAAGCTGATAGCAGATTTGCACATTCTTAAACTAATTCAATGTTCAATCTTGGTTCAATCCAACCCTCATGACTCATGCAGCATGAGAAAGGAAAGAAACAATTGAGGCATCTTCTCAGACCACTCAGACCTTCTCGATCTGACCAAGAACTTCACACCTCCCCGGATGCGAGTCCCGTCCGCGTCCTCAGCTTCGGTCTCCACGTGGCCTGAACTGGCTTTTCCAGTGATGGCCTCATGTTTGGTCAACTCGGGCGCATTTGGACGAGCCTTTGGGGGACTGGGCTCTGCAATGGCTCTGATGCTTGGCAATTACACCCAGATAGCAACTAACTCTAAACACAGAAGCACCTGAGACAAATCATTACAATTTGCAAAGAGATCTGTGCGAGCTTCCAGCACCCGTGAGTGGGTCAGACGGTCTAACAACTCCTTTCTTGCCGTGAAAAAACACCACGAATGCGTTGATGCTTGTATGTGTCTTTTTGCTTGCGTCGTTAGTTTCAAGACGTTTCAACTAGGGTTGGAAGAGAGAAACATATTGAACCATGAGGGGTGCAGCAACCCAAGGTACGCCTGAGAGATTCCTGAAGCAGCTTTTAAATTTTAAACTGTTGATTTGCAGGCTGCCAAGGTTCTTGCAAGAGTCATAGTCCCGTTATATACGATAGCATCATGTGGTATGTTTTCTCCCGACTCCGGCACCATTTGGTGAAAGGAATGGCCAACTCCCAGTTTGGCGATTTTTGCTGGATGTCCAGCGCCCATGGGGGGCACTTGGATAGAGAGACCATGGATATATGACCTGACCCAATGAGGTGTTTGACATTCAAACATGGAGAGCACTCGGCCCAGGTCTGGCGTGCGGGCAGGACACTCACAAGTGAGCACCGCTGTGGGAGCCATCCGTGAAACGGCGACTGCAAACCGATCGATTGTAAGTTGCTGGTTGCCAGATATTGCAGACTACCAAAGTTCCGCCCTTGTTTCCCATTTTGAAGCCCTTTCCTGGTGGAAGCACCCGCCAACGACTCGAAGCAAATCCACTCTCTTCAGTTGTGGAAACAAGGGGAGTTGGTGCCTTCATGGGAACTCAACCAGCAAAGATCAAGAAGCCTCACCAATACGACCACTCCCTGCCCCACCATTCCCAGCAAAGGATCGGCCAACCCCCAAAACCCTTCTTTCAAGGGAGCCTGACAGAACTTAGCGCTGTTGGTGGGCATGCAACTAGGAAGACCTTGGTACAACCAAAACTGTCCCGGAAAGGCTCCCACAGTGTCATGTGATGTCCATCAACCAAAACCCGACTTCCGGGTAGATCCAAAGGCTGAGAGATAGCAGAAAAAAGGCACAGACTTCTTCTGAAGACTTCGTGAAATTGCTGAGAGACGGAAGAAGAAATAGTTTCAATATGGATTCCCAAGACTTCCATCTCACAGCCGCCCATGGGGCAGCCCATGGGGCCCCTCCCCACTCCCCTTCCCTCGTCTACGTCTACTCTGCCCAGGGGACGTTATCGGAGAGGCGTGCAAATGCAACATACGGCATGAAGTCGGGGTGGCTGGCGCTGCGGCGGAGCGTACTTGACCTCACACAGAAAACGCCCTTCTCTTCGGCTTGGACGGAAAACACATGATTTGAGAAGTGAAGCTCATTGGCTCATGAAACATCATGAAACCTATGGCATCTCTCATCTTTGCAACTGCACGCATCCTTGAGAAAGCACTTCCCGTCTCTCCTTCCTTTGAATCATCCCTTTAACTGAGGCACGGGGAGTACATGTCGGTCTCTTCGGTCTCATTGACAAACACCGGTGGCAAAGGCTCCAAGCGTGGCTCAAAAGGCATGGTCACGAGGAAGGGAAATGTGATCACACAGATTGTGCGCTGAGCCAAGAGGCTGCGATTGTTGGGTGGCGTTGCAAGTCACAACCTGAAGAGCGGATTTGGATTTTGGCGGATGCAAGGGTGTGTTCACCAAACTTGTGCTGGGCAAAATGTGAAGTAGTGGATGTGTACCCTATGAATCCTATGTGTTCAGCGGGTCCTTTTATCATTCAACTTCAGGTAACAAGAAAGCAAGATGTCAGAACTAAATTTGATTGATCCTTTGTGTTTTGGACCTGAACCACCAAGAACAACCAAGAACAAGGAAAACTAGACACTAGTGCACAACGACACCAGCACTGGGCCACCAAATCCCAAGAGTGGAGCACTGCACACACGCAGCGCCGTGGGATGGATGCCATTACATCTTGAGCCCACGTACATCATTATACAAATGAGTACAAATCCACCACGGGGTCCCTGAACACGTCACTCAGCTTTGGGCAAAAGCTGCTCAAGAATTTGACCCGTGTTGTACCGAGTCAACAACAGGTTTGCCTGAAGGTGATGTGTTAATTGTGGTAGGAATGCTGGCAGCATCTTTCTTCTACCACATTGTCACTCGCGGTATTCCCGTTTTCTGTTTGAGGAGACAATCATCAACCACCAACCCACTGCTGGGCTTAGAAGCACCCAAGATTTGAAGTACCAAAAACAAAAGGATCCAAAATACATGTCATGATGCATGCCATTGTTCGATAAAAGTACTCACGGAGCCATTCAGTTGCAGTATGAAATGCAAACGGTGGGTGACTTGACCCTTTGAATGCACAGCTGAGAACAGGTCAATCATTAATCAGGTTCCTCACTGCCTCACCCCAATTCTTTTCGCATACTGGCCCACCCGGTACCCCCCTAAGCCGCGACTCCCGCCCCTGAGCTGACTCCCTTTCTTTCAGCGCGGAGTCTGTGTGCACTCTTCGCCACCGGGCCACGAACATTCGCGAAAGGCCGGCGAGGACGGTCGAACGGTCGCTTGCCCCAAGGGAACATGTTGTGGCAAACGGATGCCGGCTTTCGACCGGCGTTCGATCGGCAAGACCGCAACTGCGCCTAAAAAAAGGTGGACATCGGTGAAGAAAATGGTTGATAATGATCTTCGACAAGCTTACAACTTATAACACCTCAGAACCTGCTTGGTGTCTGATCTGGTTGAACTGCATACTTTGCAGCCAAAGATCAATTTCGGTTTTGAGGGAAGGCTGCAGCGGCAAACCTGGTGGTATAATTCACAAAAAAAGAACATGTGGTTTCTTCAATTGATTTCTTGGCAAGCAGGTAAGGGATGCATTTAAAGGACCCACCTTTCGCACAACGAGCGCCCGTTACCTGCTTTACGAGAATCAAGTCACGCTGCGGCCTTTGGTCCGGTGGGTTCCATGACTCCATGACCAAGTAATTAGGGCTTTTAGCGGTCCTGCATTGTGCAGACGAGCTATTGGGGTTTATATGGTTTTGATGTTCCCAACATGGGACGCTCAAAGGCATACAGGATAATCGACAGACCTCTTTTCGTTTCAACAGGTGGGGGGGGGCAATTGCCATTGCAAACATCTCCTGGCAACCTTGATGGTGGAGGCCCGCATAGGCTGGAAGTGCATCCAATTGTTGCTTATTTCTTTCTGAATAGCATGCGTTGACGATGTAATTATATATCATTATTGTAAACCGCAACTGTAACAGACTTACAAAACACCTCCACTGTTCTATGGTCCCCATAGTGCAGGCTGCAGTTGCAAGACAACTTTTGCCGAAGAAGGTCAGGGTAAATTATATGCACTGAATTGCCTTCTTGCGGAAAAACATGACACACCTAAAAGGCCACATAAAACAACATGGTGAGGGTGGAGCAACAGGAAGCGTCCGACTGAACCACATCTCCGCAAGGCTGGCTATTGTATCGCGCACGTGAAGGGCAAAGGTCCTGGTAGGCTGAACATGAATACATGTGAATACTGTCATTCATGCACCTCAATGCAAATTCCGTGCACCCAATCTCACAAAATGATCAAGAAGGACTGCCCCGCCCTTCGTGCTCTAGAACGACATGCGGGCCGTGACCTTAGCACATCGTTTAAAGAGCTCTGGTCTACCTCGATGGACGCGGCTGGGCTTATGCCGCTTTTCCGGATCTTGCATGATTCATGTAGACTGTTGATCAATAAATCATTGTTTGAAAAAGATTTAGATGTAAAACCATTCCGCAGAACCATTCTGGTAGGATCTGGACTGTTCTTCCTTCTAAAATCCACATTGAATCAACAGTCTACATTGATGCATTAAGTGAGTGATTCAAACAGCGTTTCGTCGAGACCTGGCTTGTGAGGCGCTGACTGGAAGTTTTGCTTAACCTGGTCAGCGTGCACGATTTCTTGGTCTGCGCCTGCACTGATAGTCAAGCGGCAAGCTGGGCGTCATGCTCACCGCGGGCATCATCGCCTAAGTGGAAGTGCTTCCCGACTTGCAAACAGACGCGGGCAACTCAAGATAGATATCTGCGGAAACTCTTTGAACGCTGAAAAGCGGTCTGCAGGTATCATGTGCACTTCTCATTTGTGCGTGACATGTCTTTGACATGTATGCTCATGATGACATCATGGAGTGAGTACTTGCCGTCATGATTCGTACTCCTCCTTCATAGTATGAGCTTCAGCTCCTTCTATGACCCTTTTCATGGCTGTTCCGGCCTTGGGTCTACAAACTGAAAACAGTCTTCCATCAACCTGTACATTTCATTGGCCATTTCGTGATCACCTGCTCTCGTGGCATGGTACCATGTGGCCTCAATTTTCGCTAGCTCCTGTCGAGCTTTCAAATCTGCCCTGTTGTAGGGTCTGTTGTAAAAAGAAAACTTCGACTCAGGAATCTCGATCGGCTCCGGCTGCCAGGCATCAGGATGTGTTCGTCCTGGCTCCGGTGTCGTTGTGCTCTCCATATCCTCATCTTCATCTCCAGGGCTTGGTTCAGGCTCCGGTGGTGGATCTGGTGCCTGGACAACCTCTCGGGCAATCTCCAAGTACTCAATGGGGATGTCCACAACCTCCCCACTGTCCAGCTCTACTGTGGCGGTCTCGCCACTCAGCATCCTTGTATCATCCGGATCATTTTGATCACCTCGCGCTGGTCCAGGATCATCCAAAGAGAACCTGTTGGGAATTCTCGACTCACCTTGTTCCTGTCTTCTCCGATTCATCACATCCCACTGAACTTTGAGATGCAGCCCTTCATGGCGTCGGTTGATCTTCTCCAGGAACTTCAGCGTCTCCCATTCCAAACCATCACGAATCGAATGATCCTCAACGAAGCCTCCCCGGAAAACCCAGGCTCTGTGGATCCTTTGAGTGTAATCCACTTGCATAGACCACACTCGCTCCTCCCCGGCACTGATGCGGTTGTGCTTCACCACTTCCAACTCATTCTCAAGGATCACAAGTCGGTTTTCCAGGTCCCTGAGCCTTCTTCGAAGCCACCATGCCAGGAAGATCGCCGCCACAACCATGATGAGGTAGAAGAGCTTGTCGATGTAGTTGGTGTTCTCTGATAGGTCTGGTTCCACTCTTGCGCCAGTAGCCAACTCAAGACCGCTAACAAAGACCAGTCTAATTCAAATACTTTGCAATCTTCATCACCTTCCCTTTTTCGACGCGCTGCTCATTGAACTGCTCAAACTCTTGCTGACCAACTCGTTCACCTTCAGCATTTCGAGCTTGTAGCCAATATAGTACAATATAGGAGCAGCTTCAATCGACTTCTAGACAATGGCTTGGTTCCAATGTCCGAGAGGTTCTTGGCCGTCCCAATCTGCTGGACCTCCGACTCACCACTTGCTACTTTGTCTTGACACCACAGCAGCTTCCCTCTCACATGTCGTAGCTTCCCAGCTCCTCTCTTGCATGCGGTTTGTCGAGTGGCAGAGTTGTCCACGAGGCAAACATGATGAACATCATCTCCTGTAAGGAACTGCAAACTATGCTTCAAACAGATTCCATCACATGCTCCTGAGACAAGGGCGTGCAGTTCGCTCTCTGCTGATGACAAACTCACTACCTTCTGACCTCTTGAAGAGCAATGCACCACAATACCATTGACTGCGTGTACAGCAGATGAGGTACTTCTCCGGGTAGCCCTGTTCCTGCTCCAGTCCGCATCTGTGTAGGTCTCTAAGATCCATAGATAAGGACTGTGGGCGCTCATACCCTCACCTCTCTTCGGCATTGGGAGCATCATGGACTGATCTGCCGCGTCCTTCAAATATCCCAGGAACCTGTTCAGCACAATGCGCAGCAATGACCTCATGGTTGGCTCGTTGTCTGCACAAAGGCCCACCTCAACATGTCCAAGGCTCTGGATGAACGTCATGATCTCACGGGCCATCAAACTGAGCTGTCCCTTCGACTTCAATGGGACAGAACCAAGAGCATAGGGCTGGCTTGAGCTCTCGGATACGCAGCTCCTCGGCCTCCTTGGTTTCCTCCTCCTCGTAGCGATCAATGACCATCTCCTCGTCCTCTCGGCCTCGATCCCTCTCCCGCCTTGGTGTAGCGTAAATCCAATGAGATGATTGGAATGCCACTCAACCTTGAAGCCCCTGTCCTCATATGCCTGTCTGGTCTGCCTCGATGTTTCAAGCACGCAGGACACCAGGGTCGGTATGGCACGTGGGTGAGGCAATGTTTCTCCTGCTCTTGGTTGTCGAGCCACTTGTAACTGAGCAGCTGCCACGGCCTCTGGCGCAGCCTTGAGTTCCATCTCCTTCATGTGGCTAACCAGGCGTTGGTAGCATTTCAGCTCACACCAAAGAAATTGCACGCCGCCCTCAATTGTCTCAATGGGCTGACCGCCGTGAGCTGAATGCCGTTGACCATGATGTGGTCAGGAACTCTTGGCCCCATAGCCAACCTCGCTTCCTGCTCAACTTCTCCTCGTGCTTCTTCTCTCTGATCATCAGGTGGCTCTTCTGCTGGAATGTCAACATTCTCCTCCAAAATCTCGTGGTCACGGACCTCAATGGGCTGTTCGTCCAAATGGAGTCCGGTCTCCGCTTCAAAACCCATGTCCTCCACACTCATCGCCTCCTTGGTGAGGATAGTGACCACCATGACATTCTCAATGGCTCCCTCAATCTCTTCCTCTTGGTTGAAGACCCTGTGTAGGTCCTCACACATCTCCAGAAGCTGCCAACTACCAGCCACCTTCGCCAGTGTTGTTCTCTTCCAGTTCCCTGTCGACTGGATGTCTCCCACATACTGCGGGTTCTGCAAGGTCTTGCCCAAATGGATCCCGATCCACCTGTCTCCAAAGCACCTCCAACCCGCTTGGAATCTCGTCTTCTCCTCGAGGTGCTCCTTGAGCTTTGCCTCGAGAACTCTTACCACTTGCGGCTCCATTGAGATAGTCCTGACACTACCCTCTGCCACCAAGCTCTTGTTTTGAAGGCGCAGAGGAATCCTGATCTCACGATCACCTGAACCATAGACCAGGGAATGATCCGTGATTCCCCAGCCACTTTCCATCAGCCTTCCAAATGACAAGATAGGATGCGAAATGCCCTTAGAGAAATGGGCCTTCTTGAAGATCTGGATCTCCTTCCCGCTCTCTGCCTCAAACACGAAGCAGACACTTTTGTAGCCCTCGATGGAGATTTGTTCACCTTGGGCATCTTGCAACATAGGTCCATCCTCCTCAACCTCACCACCAGCTGCTAGGTAGGAGATCGGGAGAACTGTTGCATCTGCTCCAGAGTCCACAATGATTGAGCAGGTTCCCTAGGGATCTTGCTCCCGGCCTCCAGCTTGAACCACCATAATGTTCAGCTCCTTCTCCTCGGCATTGTTGAAGTTCTCCTCATCGCCATCGTGCATCTAGTCCCTCAAATCAAAGAGCAAGGGCTCCTCAAATTCCTGTGAAACTGGGCTCAACTCAACAATCCTCTTCACCGTGGCTGTCTTGGCCGTTGTGGCCTGGCTGCCGCTGGTAGACGTCCATGTTGACGAAGCGTCTCCTTGGTTTTGCACCTGTTGCTGCGGAGGGCTATCAGCCACTTGCCGAACTCGCCAGCAATCTCGAGCTAGGTGTCCGGGCTTGCCACAGGTGTAGCACGTCTTGACGGGACCACCATCATTCTTTCCCTTCTGACCCTTCTGCCCGTCACCCTTACCACTGCTCTTCTGCTGACATTTTCCTTGACCATAATCTGAGCCCTTCTGTTGACCCTTTCCTTTACCCTTCGAATTCTTGGCATCTCCTTTGCCCTTACCCTTGGTGTTTTGGGTGTCCTTTCCTTTAAACTTGCCCTTGCCCTTCTCCCCCTTCTGACCAATTCGATCGATCTTGATTGGAGCACGCCCACCTGTGTCTTGGCCCAGCATCATCGTTGAGCTCCACTTCAATGTAGCGTTGTCGTACTGGATGATCGCCTCTCGAAGTCGGGTGTAGTCCTGGCTTTCCGCTACATGAAGCTGTAACCACATCTTGAGCTGGCCACTCACACATTTCATCAGGATGGCAAACTTCAGGCTGTCCTCCAGCTTGCTTCCTGCACGTTCGTACTCAATGAAGGCCTCTTCAAGGCGAAGCAACTGGGTCAGAATGCCACCTTTCTTCATATCAAATTGGCCCCACCCCAAAATCATGGCTAAAAGTCCCAACGACCGGTTCTTGCTGGCGGGTTCAAGTGACTGCACCAGCACTCGATATGCTTCCATGCCGTTGGCCTCCTTGACCTGCTTGATGAGGGAGAGTGGGCGATGGCGAACCAGGGAGGCAAGCAAAGCATATAGGAAGGACCCTCTCTGCCTCTCCTCGTCTGTCTGGATCGACGGATCGATGGGGCGATCTGGATGCTCTCTGATCTCCTTGATGTCCTCCACAAATCCTGCATCCAGGGAAGCAAGATACTGCTCTAGCCCCCAACTGAAGTCCCCGCAGAGGGAAGCTCATCCTCACGAGATTTGGGCTCGTAGCTGCTGGGCCAAAACTCGAAACCAGGCGCGATCATCAGCATTGGACTTCTTGTTGACCGCTTCTGCAGCCAAGCGGGCTGCCGCGCTAGCCTGCTCTGCTGCTTGCACCGTCCTCATAGCAAGCTCCTGGCCGTCGAGCTGCACCCCTGTCGGGGATCCCGCTGGCGACCCAGCAGGTGACCCAAGTGGATCTCCACCAAACCCTGCCATCTTCCTCCACAACACCCTCCTCGGGTGCCAGGATGTAGCCACCAAGGAACTTGGCCTTCACAAAGCCACCGGCACTGATTGCCGAGATGGCGCCCGGGTAGGGTCCAGCCCGGTCTCAAAAGAGTTCCTTGGAGCCTCCAGCGAAACCAAAAGGAGTCGCCTTCTCAGGCTCCGCTACCATGCGGAAACTCTTTGAACGCTGACAAGCAGTCTGCAGGTATCATGTACACATTTGTGCGTGACATGTCTTTGACATGTATGCTCATGATGACATCATGGAGTGAGTACTTGTCGTCATAATTCGTAATATCGTATCACGAGGATAATTCATCTGACACAAAGAGGGAGTGCAGCGACACCACCAGCAGCAGGAGCTGGAGCTGGAACAGCAGCAGCAGCAGCAGCATCAGTTGATTCTATGTTTGTGTTTCTCTTCTGTTTCATTCCACCCTTGAAACAAAGACCCCCCTTCCCTCCGCCCAAAGACATGGCCGCTCTGGATGTCAGGCCCAAGAACGCCCAGCCATTTTCACCAAGCAGCTCGAGCCCTCTTCAGTGCAGCATCGCCAGTCTTGATGGCCTGCGCTGCGGACCAACGTCATTGGAGTCTGTGTGACAGTAGGGAAACATCCAAGGATAATTATCTAAGGAACTGCCCCGAACCACCAGCATCATTGCTCTTTGGCAAATGGAGGCGCTCTTAGGGAATCCAACCGGCCCATGGCCCCTGGCCCTGACCAACGTCCTCCCTCCAACGAAAAGCGAAACTCTATGAAACTTTCCATCGACAGGACTTGCGCCTTCACAACCTGCGGAGGCAAGGGCCTCACGCTCTGCCCAGAGCAGCCGCCAGGAAGGCCTGGGAAGATGGTTGGAAGCCAGCAAGTTACAGTAGCGCTTACAGGCTGCAGTGCTTTCACCTTCGAGCGGGGTTTTAATGGGTCTAAATAATGCAAACCGGATGTGCAGAAAAGCCACTCGAAGGAAGGCTCCTGCTCGAGGTTAGGCTGGTGGTTCGTCTTCCCTGCACATGCTTGCAAGAACCTTGGTCCCTGTAAAAGCTACAAAATCCAATGAAATCACCTTCTTTACTTTAAGAGGTCGTCGGGTCATGAAGACAGATTATCTGCTTGGTGGGATCCTGCGATCCTCCTGATGATAATCGCCAGCTCGTGGACCATGTTTAAATTGGTTCGAACTCAGAAGTCTTGAAGACTAGAAACTCCAAAAATGTGAGAGGCTTCAAAGCTCCCCAGGATTGGACGTCGCGGCGTGGGGTTGAAGTGCGGTGATACGCCTGAAGAGATTGCTTACTTGAACTTGTTTG